GAAGCAGCAGTTTTAGGAGAAATGTGTGAACCTATCAGCGGTGCCCTGCTGCACGCAAGGCACAGATGTCGCCCCCTATAGCTGGCTCCCTTCTCAAGCTCTTCCTCCTCTTCCTGGGTTCTTCGTTCTCCTTGAGCTCCCTCCACTGAAATGCTCTGGAGCCTGTGATCCCAGGGAGGTCCTCGGAGCAGCCCCGTGGGTGTCACCTGGGAGCTGCTTAGAGTTTCAGACTCTCAGACCACCCAGGTCTCAAGAATCAGAATCCTTTTTAGTAAGACTTTCAAGTGATTCCTGGGCATAAAAAAGTTGAGAAACAGGACTTTTGGGTACCAGGGGCTCAGGAGAAAGTGACGGCAAGACATCCTGATGAATGTTGAACTGTTGGTTGTTTTACATGTGAGCAGACTTCCCTCTGGAGTTTGGGAGGCACAGTGTAACAATCTACTGGGTTCTACAGAACCAAGTGTACTTTTAAAGTTAATGCAAAATTTTACTCAAAAATATCTACTTTAGCTTTTGTACTTTTTTTTTTTTCTGTTTTTTAGCTACAGGGCTGAAATCCAGGGATTTGTGCATGCTAGGCAACTGTATCTACCACTGAGCTACATCTCAACCCTATTAAACTTTTAAACACTAGGGGAAAGAAAAATAAACAAACAAAAAATTTACCAATGTATTTAGTTATGTTGTCAGACTAAATCTTTTAGATCTAAAATAAAATTTTTTTTTGCTATACCAAGTTAAGTTAGTAGTATTAATAAACTATGAAATGACTTGCTTACAAACAAGTCTGATACCACTTAAAATATCTTACATCCACTGATCCCAGTTTTCTCAATGCTTTGCAAATAAAATCAAGTGCAGAAATAGATGACATTCTCTGAGTGAAATAAAACCGCAACTGCCATCCATAACTCCAAACTGAATTCCTGCATCTAGCCACTCTGTGTTAACTAATTTAATATTAAGTAATCATTGTACATATGACTTTTTAAAATATGGCTTTTGTTTGCCTCATAGATTGGGGTACCAATAAGTTTTATTTGAAAAAAAAATGCATTTGGATCTACAGCATTCTGACCAGCGCTGTCGGGGAGGGTGCTTGTGGCTGAGTCTCCGACCCCAGGGCTGTCTGGAGCCAGAGTAATTGGATGCATCACTTCTCAGGAGCCCTTTGATCACAACAAATTGACACCTGCCAACTTCTCCCCTGTATGCTCCTGATCCCACTCCAGTCCTTCTCGAGTCGAAGCGTCGAGTCATTTTGATTCATTTTTGATGTGGATCAAACTTTCAAGTTAGGACATGCCATGGAACAAATTATACATTTCCTGTGACCTGCTAAATGAATTAGCTTATTAGAGCAAGAGTCTGAAGTCTGGATTTAAGACTAAAATCATAGATAAAATAATTTATATTTCTCATGGTGGAAGGGCTATTGCCTCTGAAATTCCTTTCCAGTCCTTAGTGGTGTAACTTTCTAGCATTTCTTACATTCGTTTCCTCAGTCCATCCACAGGCATTTACTGAGTGTGTGCCGGACACCCCATTATGCAAAGAACCATAAAAAACATACCTTCCTTCTGCAGTGTCAGCTTAGATGGGAAGGACAGCCCAACAAATAATTGCTAAGCCAGGTGACGAGGGCATATTAGATTTCATGCAAATGGTGCTATGGTTATGCAGGAGAAGAAATAAGTAATTAAAAAAAGTGCACTAGGTTAATTTGTGTTTTGTTGTGCTTGGTAATTGGCCCTAACTGTTAAAATATATGGTGATAAGATATTAGGGTGTGAAATTGAGTTTCAATCAACTTGATTGGGAAATAAAACATTTTCCACCATTAAGAATTAAAATGCCAATAATCTGCGCCAAAAGAAGGTTGATTTTAAAAATAAGAATTGCAAGAAACCAGCATTAAAAATAAAATGCTAAAATCTCATTGAAGTACTAATAATCACTTTTTCAGAAAGCCCTAGTCTTGTATTTGGGGAGTATTCCATTACTCTCACTTCGTGGTTTATGCTTCCCTGGCGTGCAAGTACACCGTCATCTTTTTATCACTGAGATGTGGATTTTCTACTTGGTGCATTATTTAGAGCACATTTAGATTCCAACTTGGTTTTCCTTTGCTACTCAGTAGGCTTCTGCACTACCTCCCCCTGAATTAATTGATATAATGAGCTGATGTAAATGATCCTCACCATTAGGCTGAGCTAATATTAACCCACGATGATTTAGAAAGTAAATATACCACACAAAGGCACATACTTACTGAATTTCACACTGAAGTATCAAGGATGCTTTAGTTTCCTGCATATTTGGGCTATCTGTTCCTTGCCTTCTAGGGTGACATGGAGAGCGAGCACGGTGGATGTGGTTCCTGCTGCAGTGGCCTGGGCCTGGGTCTGCAAGCACAGTGCTGTGAGGGGGCCCTTCCCTCTCAGGACCACTACCACTCGCTGCTGTACTTCCTTCCCCTTGTTTCTGTTCTACTAGGACCACTTTCCAACAGTTAATCATAAAGTGCAACACCTCTTTTAAGACCCAGTGAAAATGTCCTCAGCTCTGTTCAGCCCTTTCTGTAGCCTCCCATCTGTCACTCCTCTAGCATCTAAATCCTTCCATAGCAGTTCTTAGGTTGTCGTGACTCACCAAATTCTTCCTGCTCCGTATTTTGCATGACTCTTACCCCCATCTCCACCTACAGCCACATTACAAAGTCTTTTGAGGACCATCTTTGTAGCCTTCATTCCATCAAGCCCAGATTATATGGAAAAGGAAGTAGGTGTCTATTAAACATAGAGTGGGTTTCCCATCCTTCATGAAAATCCAAGATCATGGCTTTGCTTATATTGTACTTAGACCTAGTAATGTTCTTTCTCTTGTTTTCTTCTTTTATCGTCCTGTTTGATCTTTGAAGGTCAACCTAGGAACTTTGAATTGTGTCTGAAATCTATATTTGATCTCTCACAAGAAATTCCATTCTGTTTTATTTGTCTCTGAGTTGTGCCATTTTTATTTTTGCCTCTGTTACAGTTCTCATACATAATGTATCCACTTTCATAAATGGTAAGGTCTTGAGAGGCTCTGAATAGAGGCTTATTCTTCTGTTTACCATAGTGCTGTGCATACAACAAGTGCTCATTACATGTTTGTTGCAGGAATAAAGGTTTCTGAGGAATCGTGGAGAAATAGCACACATATAAAGAATCAGGGGCTCCACGTCATATTGAACTGGGCCCTGCTGCAAGAGACTTAGACATCAAAGTTGACAAATCAAGAACAGAGGTTGGAGAATATGGTCTGAGACCATCTCTATCAGATTCTGTAGCAAAAAGGCCATGGGGCATTCTGATTAAGGGTTTCCATGCAAGGTGGCTCTCTGTCAATCCATTGCCTGTGACTCACTATTATAGGTTCTGCTGTTGAATCTGAGTTTCCTGTTGAAACCTAGATATCTTCTGTGAATTCTAATACATAACATTAAATAACTTCTTTTCAATCTTTTTAAACAAGGATTTATAAAGAAGCAGGTTGTGGGGAAGTTGAAGAAACGAATTGCCGAAAGGGGCAAGGAGATGGGATAAGGTGACAGGAAAGAGTTTGTGCCATTGACATGAATGTTCCAGAACAGATCTCAACCTCACTATTTCTATAATACAGTCAAGCTATGAAATTGTGCCCTGGAAGCTGTGACTCATATATTTACAAGCACAGCTCTCATTCATTGACCCTCTCCTTCCTTCCCCTTATCTACTTCAGGAACATTACCTGCAAACCTAACATGGTACATCCACACAATGGAGTTCTATTCAGCCACACAAAAGGTGGAATCCTGTCCTTTGTGACAGTGTTGTTGGGAAGGGAGATTATTGTGTTAAGTGAAATAAGCCAGGTACAAAAAGAGAAGTATTATGTGATAGCACTCATGTGGAATCTAACAAGACACTTCTCATAGAAGTCAGGAGGAGAACGGTGGTTACCAGAGGCTGGGGAAAGGTTGTCAGTGGTTACTAAGTTCCAGTTAGAAAACAGCAAGAAGTCCAGGAGTGCAGCTGACCAGTAGGGTGCCTGTAGATGTGATTATGCAGTGGGTATTTCACAAAGCCAGAAGATAGGACTTTGAATGTTTTTACCATAAAAGGCAATGATAAATGCTGGAGAAGACAGATAGGTTTATTCTGATTTAAACATTACACAATGTAAACATATATTGAGACATCACATGGTAGCCCATTATATGTTAAATATCAGTTTTAAAATAAATTAAAAAATAAGATTTTTTTAGAGTATTTATAAGATAGATATAATTGCCCACTTTTCAAATGGGGACACCAAGGTTCAGAAAAGTTACATTTAGTCATCACAGTTAGCTTCCTAATGCATGGAAAGACATAACTTTGAACATAAACCCTATTTTCCCCCTCTATTTTGCTTGCTCCTCTTTAAGTCGGTGGCTTAAACTACCCAGTCAGGTTCAGGGGGAAGTGTTTGAAAGACAGAACTTTTTTTCTTATTAGGTGAATGTGTTTCCATTGCTGTTGCCATGGCATTATTACAAAAACTCAAAATTGTTTGGGAAAACTCAGGACTACCCCTCTGCAACTTGGTATTGGCCTTGATAGAGAAGAAAACAGGAGAGAAACGAGATGGCTTATCTTTCATCCCTCACCAGGAGAAATCTGGCGAGGGTCTCTGTCTTTGGATAAAAGGGAAACAAAATGAATCTGTGATATGCAAATGAGCCCCTCAGCTGGGTGTGAGTATCTACTATTTACCCAAAAATGGGAAACACCAGGCCTGTGATACATCATCTTCTGTGTGCTTGGCACCTTCCATCATGAATCATATTAATCTGCTAAAACTAACAAGGATTAATTGCCTCAGTAAGGCAACCTGGCACTGAAATGATAGATTGCCCAAACAGCTTGGAATTTGGCCACTCATAAATCTCATTTGTTTGTTGGTTTATTTCTGTTTGTCTCTTTTCCTTACAGATGTGTGCCCAATCACTGTGAGCATGGAGGGAAGTGCTCGCAAACGTGGGACAGCTTCAAATGCTCTTGCGAGGAGACAGGATACAGCGGGGCCACCTGCCACAACTGTGAGTGCCAATTTATCTCACTTTAATCTTGTAATCGCACGAGAATCGCAGGTCTTCAGCCACGCTTTAAAGCTTAGCAGCCTGAATTATCTATACACTGCATCACTTGATCTGAAAAGCCCAGATTCTGTTGTCATTACTCCAAAAAAATAGTGTTCTACTTGTCAAACATGTTCCCTCATGCTGGACGGGGGGCGGCCAGAGTCTCCAGCATTCCATATTTGAGTTGGAAGGCAGAACGTGGAGTCCCCTCTGTGTGTCTGAGCCAGGGCTGTCCAGTTAGATTGCCTGGGAAATTGTGTTAGTGTGATGTCTCTGACTGGACCATCATTTATCAATTCATCTGAGAGGGAGACAGAGTATAATTTGAACATTTGATTTCTGGACAGTGGTTGCCTCTGGTGTCAGCCCAAGTATTTGGCCCCATTTTTTCACATCAGAGAAATGAGTCAGAAAGGGGAATAAAGTCCACCAACTTATATATCTAAAGTAAAAGCACAAGGAGGGAAAAATTCTAAAACATTAAAAAGAAGAGCTAACATGTGCCAATGAGGAGAAAAATACCCTTGTATCTTGTATTACATAGCTTTATCCCATATGTTTGAATACAGATTAAACTTTTAAATTCAAAGCATATTTTAAGTGAATGTTAGTTCTTTGATTGTGATATTAATTTTTCAATAATGTACTGCCATTTTACAAAGCATCTTTGAAAATATGCTTGCCATAAAACATATAGTGAAGGGGGCCATCTGTTGTGTGGTGTGTGTTGTCTTAAAAGAGAAGAGAGTCAACCGTCTTTCAATAGGCTAAAACCCTGAAACCCTAACATCTAAGCCCTCTAATTACACAAGATTGATTTCTCTTCACTTTATTTTTAGGAAATGACAAGCAGAACATTCTCAAAGTAGAGTCCTGGGTACAGTAAAAATGCAATATCGTTCTCTGTGATTTGTAGTAATGTGCACTAAGAAATCATGCTTAGAATGTACTGTGAGACATAAACTGAGAAAAACGTTTGAAATTGATTTTTCTTAATTTATTAATTTTTGAGGGAAATAATGAAAGACAAGACATAAAGGGACTCTTAGAAGAACTAACATTAACAGAAACCTGTATAAGTAACAACAGACAGGAGATTCATCATCTGTAAAGCACTTAAATGTAGAAAAGAATTTAGTGAACAAAGAACAAAAATGATTAATAATAAAATTAATTAGAAAAAGACCAGGGGAGGAAGGAAGGGAGGGTAGGAGGAGGTGCTGGAGAATGAAATTGACCAAATTATGTTGAGTGCATACATGAATATGTAACAAGGAATCCCACTAATGTGTATAATTATAGTGCATCAATAAAAATTTTAAAGATCCAATGAATAAGGATGTGGGACACAAAAGCTTATAAACCAAAATAAAAACAAAGACAAAAGAAAAAGTTCTCCTTGGCATCTTTCCTAAAATGGAAAGATTGTACTAGATACAATTATATCTGGTGAAAAATAAGTTATAACTCAATTATGTACCAACCATACAAAATGTTGACTTTTTGTATACAATATTCATTATTATAAAAGATGAGGCCAAAATAAATAACTTTGGTAAAAATTAGCAATCTTAATTTCACCAGTATAATTTTTTTATCATATGAAAGTTACCATATTTAAATGCAAGAAATCTTGTTTCTGAAATACAGCAAAGCCAAGGAAATACAGAGCAAGAATTGGTAGTGGTCACAGGGTCTCAACCTCTGTGATGGCTTTAATATTGATAATTGAAAAGCCAGTGAATTTTTAACACAGCAGAATACATTACAAAGAAAAAGGCAGAATTATAAAAGTACATGCTACTGATTGAGTAGTTGATAAGAGTCATAACTGCAGATATTAGAAATATACTCAATGTGGCCAACTCTAGAGGTAGAAGTGGGAAATTACCTCATATCTGGGTGTTCCTTCCTACTTTCTCTTCGCTCCCTTGTTACTTCTGTAAGGGGAGAACTATTCATTTTAATAATGAAAACTGGATCCCTTGCTCAATATTGTGAAGGGTCAAGTGTGCACATCAATAGAGGTTGAACAGCCACATTGCATAATTCAAGAAAAGGCTTGGTTTGGAAGAGTGTACCCTGCAGCTTATTAAAGGATGTTTGCTTCCTATAAAGATTTGATACATCTCTTCATACTCCCATGGAGCAGTTAAAAATTCCAAGAGGTCTGGCATAGCACATAACAAAAAGATGCAATGTGTTCCATAAAGTTTGATACATAAAGTTGGATGGTTTTTCACTGTTACTCAGTCACTGGATGCATTCCCAGCAAGAGCATTGAAGTGAAAGTCCCCAATGTCTGCTGTTGGCTGGAGGTCACCACTCAGAGTGTCCTTTTAGACAGTCATGTGACTTCTCTGGAACTTTCTTTACTCCCGTTAACTAAATGGTTATTGAATCTCTTTTGCTTCTAAAGGCCTATGAGCTGACATTTCAAGTTGCTTATCCCATGTTGTGTGATTTTGAACTTTGCTAGTATTACAGATTGAGAATCCCTAAATCAAAAATCCAAAATGCTCCAAAATCTGAAAGTACATAATACCTACACAATACCTCAAATTTTCAGGTTGTGGAGCATTTTGGATTTGGGGTTTCTGGATTAGGTATGCTTAATAAGTAAAGTTCTAGGCAAATATCCAAAACCAAGGTAGAAAACTCTAAAATTTCAAACTTTTAAAAAGTGTTTTTATTAGTGCATTATGGTTATACATAACAGTGGGATAATTTTGACATATTCATACATGCAGGCCATGAAGTTGCTCCATTCAACCCCCATTACTTCCTCTATCCCTCCCCTCCTCTCTCCCCTGCTCCTCTTCCTCTACTCCATTGGTGGAGGGACTACAGAATGAACTGGACCAAATTATGCTGTGTACATACGAATATGTCACCGCACATTCCACCTTTGCATATAAAGCACCAACTTAAAACAGACAATACATAAATAGAAGGAAGACTCGAAATCCTTTTGAACCCAAGTATTTGGATAGGGACACTCAATCTATACTAAATATTTACCTTGATTTTTCTTGCAGAAGACCAAGCATTTCTGCCAAGTAGAAATCATGCTATTTTAAAATAGTACTATGTCCCCCAACCCCCCCAAAAAAACAGCTGACCCTGAACTTTAGTGTAACTAAACATTTGATAGAGTTTCAAGCACTGTAATTAGGCTACAAAATGCTAATTTAGCCCGTTTTCTACACTGGTCCAGCCTTGGTCAGGATGAGAGAGCAATTTCTTGAGTGACATGGGTGGACAATTCACATCGTTTGGCTGGGTCATGCTGCTTGCCCTTGAATTGGCTCTACCCCTTGCTCCTACCCTTGGCAACTGTAATGGACACAGTACTCACCTGAGAAGCCACCAGGGGCTTAATAGATGATTCACAGGAGACACCAAGTGCTTCATCCTGGGTAGCACTGACATGTGTTTTTCTATTCTTTCCTTTGAGAATTGTGTCTCTTTGCTCTGAACTTCTCAAACAATGATGTCCATATCACACAACTTGCTATTGAATTTCATATTCTCACACATTATTTGCTATCATTTTCATGGCAGATTTGGGCTGAAAGTGAATGATTGTTTTCCATCGCTTTTGTTTTTCCTGAATTGAAGAAGTAGTCTTGATAAACATGTAGTTTAGGTGCCTCTTGGACTTGTATCTAATGGTTTATTTTTTAGTTTGTCAATTCGTAGAGATCTGACTTCCAAATATGTGGTAGAGAGGACTCAATCTTGTCATTTTCACACGCTCTGCTGAGGGGAGGAATGTCATCCTTTGGTGAGAAAGTTCCCCAGGGAGCCATTTCCACCAGGATGGTCAGATCATAGGAGAGGGGAAGCCAGATGTTGTCCTCCAAAACCAAAAGAGAATCATTTGTGATAAAATGAGTATATAGGGAGTCATTGAGGTTCGATACTTTTAAAAATTGTCTTCTGCAAACATTCTCAGTTTCAAAGAACTGCCTCCTGCTATGTCTGAGTGTGAGATCTTGGCGGGGTGACACAATCACACTGACGAGTTTGTCGGCTGGCTTATCGGTTAGTGGCGCTGACTCACGGGCCTCACCCTCCCAGAATATGAAGATGTCTTTCCTGAGCAAACTCACATGCTGACAGGCAGCTTTCCTCTGAGTGTGCTGTCGAGATGCTCTGAGGTGCCTCCAAGCCTGCTCTAGCTCCCAAGTGTCCCTAGGATCTAATTACCATCCTGTGTTCCACATGTGTGCCTTACACTTTGACAATGATGGCCCTCATCCATACATTGACATCAGGAGGCTATCCTATATCTCAGGGCTTAATGGATATTCTTTCTCCTTAAGATCCTCTCTTAGACCTCAGCCATTCTTACATAAAATACCACTCTATGGAGAATTTCCCTAAACTTCCCCAGAATATCCTCCAAACCGTGAAAACCTCGGGCTACTCACAGAGAGTAGGAGGATAAAAGGGAATATCTCAGTATTTGACAAAGATACTCAATGTTTTGGGATGAAAATTAATAAAAAGATTTTTAAGTGCCAAATATGTATTCTAATAGAAAATACTTTTATGAAAGATATTTTATGAAAGGAGAGATTGTGGCCCCTATAGGTAGACATCATGTCTCAAATGATAGTTAGATGACTTGTGTGGATCTTTTCCAACTTTAAAATGATCAGATTTCCAATTCTGAAATCTAAGGTCCTGACATTGCCACACAACATATGTGTAAAATTGATACAAGCCAAGTTAGAGGAAAAAATGAAATGTGCATAAAAGCAACTATTCTACATGCTGTTGTGTGGAGCCGTTGTTGGCTCGTCAATTTGTAAACCATAAATTATACTACACGTTACTACTGCCCAACTGTGGTCATTTTCAACACCCCACATCATGTTATTTATAATATTCATACCCATAAATATTCTAATTCAAAACACAATTCTTTAAAAGAATGCAATGCTACCTGT